GAAACCATATTCATACTTTATTCATAATTTGATTTCTGATGCAAAATTATTAACTGAAGAGTAGGACAAATTCATAAAATTAAAGTGAGGATATGATGGTATTGAGCATCACCAGTTTTTCACAAATAGTCAGCCACTACATTCGCATTTTTCTATGCTATTCACCCAATTGACGAGTAGATAGCAAATGAGTAATAATCTTATAGGATAATTCATTCAATGACATACTTATCCATCGCCGGAAAAAATTTGCAAATGTCAAGCAAAAATTTCTCTAAAGGCAACGAGAATTCAATTGCAACTTGGAGAAAGTGGAAAGAAGCGAATTTCTGCAATATAATAAAACTTTTGAGGAATCAATCGAGCGGGTTATTTACTTGCGAAGGCGAAATACTTATCGATGGATTTGTGTGGTGCTGAAAAATTGTTGAAGAGTTGTTTGGATCGTGATGAGACAACTGCTGAAGCACACCTTCTTATGGCTCAGGTTGACTCTTTTTTTGATGGATAGGTGGTGCGTTCAATGGGGCGAGCAAGTGATATTCTCATCATAAGTGAATTTTCAGATGCAATTACAAAAGAAGAACTATGATGAGGCAGGGAAATGTCTCGATGTCGGGTTGAGTTTCAACTTCAAAGTTCGCGAACATCCAATCTATCATCTGATAAAAGCAAAAGTGCAAAAGAATTGCGCACAAATCGATGCATCAATTAGTACACTTCGTAATGCGCTACAACTGCCTTCGTTCAATTCTGGTTCCTTTCTCGCTTATTTCTTATTCGCTCAATACAACCCGCCGAATCTTTTTCGCTGTCATCCGCTTATCTCTTCCTCCAAAACATCTAAAGAGACGACTGTATGCATAATGTGGAGATGATTTTTGTTTGCTTAGAACACATTTAAATTCTCTGATAGAATTATGCATTGTGAAATCATTTCGTAAGAGGAACGAACCGCAGTGAGCGTTGATGAACTGTTCTTATTGCATCAATGTGTTCAGCACCGAGTCAAAAGCGAGAAAAATTGGATATAACTGATGGAGATCGCATTGCGATTTATTTGGAACTGATGGATTCACTTCAGAAAATGGGTCACATCGTGAGTTCACGTCTCCTTTCAAAGTGTTACCAATATTACGTGCTAATACAATTGATGTGTTAATTAACATTGAAACGTCACCATCATTTGATAAGAACAATCACAGTGGTAACAATTTCAAAAATAAAAGTGTAAACAGTGATATTAATGACAATGCTGGTAATAATAACAAGATAATAATAAAATGGCAGTAGCACTAACAACATAATCGTAATAAATATAAGTGCTAATGATCAAATTTGGGCGATTCCAAAATCTGTTCTAAATTGAGCATTCATGAATCTCACTTTGGCATTCCATGTGCATTTGGATATGACAACTGAACACTTCTACTGGATGTGAGGATCGTATGAGTTGAATAATGCGAGTGATGCAGTTCAAAGTTGGCATTGAAGGAAGAGGCTGATGGAGTGATGCGAGAAGCACTGGAGCGTTGGTCGGGCAAAGCCGAAGAGCAACAGTTGATATTGATGAATGCGAACTTACGACTGCAAAAAGGCGATGTGGACGGTGCATTAACGATACTCGCGTCGATTCAACCGAACCAACCCAACTATCAAACTGCCAAAATTCGAATGGCTCAAATCTATTTGGATGAGAAGAAAGACAAACGACAATTCGCCATTTGTTACAAGTGATATTCCACTCAAGAAAACAAGCAAAACGTTGATTTATATCCCAAATGAGCCACTGAATCCTCCAATCAAACCGTTTTGCTTTATTTCCAAAACAAAAGTGACCACCATATTTCAGGCAGTTAATTCAACACGATCCAACCCCGTTGGCTTACGTACTACTTGGTGATGCCTACATGAGTATACAAGAGGTACACAACGAATTATTACATTCTTCATCATGATTTTAATTAAAAGCTCACACAAGAATACTCATCGGAACCAACACGTCTCATCGAACAATAGCCTTCGTTTTATGAAGTTTCATTTGCATTTTGGAGATATTAACGACTAGAAAAGCATTTTTAAAGCCGTCAAGAGCGATAGAAGTCTATGAAGCGGCACTGAAGAACAATCCAAAAGACGATGCATTAGCTGAGAAGATCGGTCAAGCATATGTACAGTGTCATCTTTATTCGAAGGTTATTCTTGAATTGCATTCATCAGTCGGTCTTATATTATGTCAACACCATTAAATCCGTTTCAATCACAATTTTTTGCCAAGCGATCAAGCATAACGAACTGCTGAATTGTACGACGATTCTTTAACCATCGTACGGTTTCGAAATGAGCAAAGAATTGAGAGATGATCACACTAGTTGATGAATGAGCACAAAAGCGCAACTTCTAAGGCAGTGAACTACTACGAAGCAGCATTGAAAAGTGGTCAGAAGAGTGTGATGCGGATGCGTTTAGCTGAATTATTGTTTCAATTGGGCAATTACGAGAAATGCGAAAAGGTATTGACTCAAGCACTCGATGCCGAATCCTGTCCTATCGGTTCGTTTCTGTTCTTTTCTTGTTCTTCTCATCACTTTTAATTTCTTGTTGAAGTTTTGAGAGTCATTCGCATGCATCCAAATTGAAAACTTATGCGAGTTGCAAAGAATTGTGAAAAATAACATAGCATCAAAAATCTGGTAATTTCAGTTGATTGTGTGAGATAGATTGTTTAAGTGTCTGCTTGAGAATGTTTCACGGTGCTAAGTAATAGGTTGGGCAGATTATGATCAGAAATGAATGAATGAGAGGATGTGCAATTAATTCAATAGAGAGTTCGAAGATGAGTGAACATGTATCGTATTGGATGTTGCTATCGAAACTGCACTTCGAGAATGGCAATTGGCAACAGGCAAGCGATGAGCTGTCGAAAGCTCGCGATATACAGAAACGTCTCATTAACAAGTCACCGTCTGAAGTGAACAACATCCTTGAACAACGCAAACTTGCTGCCAGGTTGCTTCATTATTTCATCAAATCATATTGTTTATCAAATGTTGATTATCAACATAATTAGGTGCAGAAGGATTCAATTTCCAAGGAGAGAATATGAAGTAACGACCAGCATAATAAATCAATCATATACACATGATCGAATAGGATGAGGTTGAGAATGTGGAATTTCCATACCTTTTAACTGTGCGATCGTTTTGGGAATACATATGTTTTTAGAGAGAGAGAGGATTCCGCGGAATCGTAATCAATTTATCCGCATTGATCCCCGTTATGATTTATTGCTTGACGTATAGGACTGTAGAATGAATATGCTTATGAAGGAATGCATTTTTGAAGGATTTGCTGTCAACTGGCGGAATTACATTGGAATCGAAGGGAGGCGAACAAAGCGGTTGAATATTATAAGGAAGCAATTTCACTGAATGAAACTGATATCAAAGTTCGTGCTTCTTCATGTCGCTTACAGTCGATCAATTTGAAACACTTCAGTGCTAATCAATAAACGAGCAAACTTCAACAAAATGTTTTCCACGTTATGTCAAGAGACGTGAACAGCACTTCTCAAGCTTGAAAATCATTTTCGTGATCTCATAAGTTCAAATGTTTCCAGAGAATTTGGATGAATTGAGGGATGGCGTCCCTGAAGGCAGTAATGTAATGAATTTTAGATAATTTCAGACAATGACTGCACTAGCTTCATTATATTTAGCAATTGGTAAACTCGAAGCGTGCAACACTCAATGTCAACTGATTCTTAGCATTGATCGACATAATGATGAGGCTACTTTGGTATTTCATAATTATTTTATGATTGGTTTAGTTTCTTCGAAATTATTTGACACATAGAGGAGATCAAAAGAGACGGGAATTACGAGCATCTGATAGGTCGGTTAACCGGAGAATCGGAATGCAAAGTAGATATCGAAAGAACATTTTCATTCATTTCATGAGTATTCACTGACCTCTTTTCCATAACTGGGCAGTTGTATTGGAGCATAACATTGAAAGGATGAGAATTTTGAGAAGTGCGTTAATGTTGACAAGGTAAATGCAATTTAGATGATGGCAGATTTGTTGTATCAGTCGAATGAGGCCGATAAAGCAACTGTACACTTCACGCAATTATTGGATCGCAATCCAAGTGAGTGCTGCTAACGTTTGTGAATTCGCGGTTATGGCCACTGCTATAACATTTAGTCAGTCTCAAATTGACTCCAGCTGGTTGCAAGTGTGTAATCATGATGAAATGAATTGATTTGTAACAGAATTCATGATTTGAACAGATCAATACCACGCGTTGGCTCGTTGTATTGAGTTGAGTTGGCGAAGCGGTGATGTTGAACAAGCAGAAAAGTATCTGAAGAACGCTGTAGAGGCTAATCCACGCGCTACAGTCGATGCTGGGTTCAATTACTGTAAAGGACTTCATGAATGGTGAGTGCTGTTGAACACTTCTCCGAATTTGTACGATGAGATGATTTCTCATGAAGTACGTTTGTGAGCATATTGGGTTGATTCGAAAACGATGTCCTTTTTGTGAATATTTACTTTTTCTAACTGATCTTAATGAAACTCAAAGTCAAATTGTGAAATATTGGTTATTTTTAAGATATAACGTC